CTTGTTCCCTGCCACCCCCCCCCCCCCCCAGAAGATTTGCATACCTCAATAAGTTCAGAATCTCACAACAACAAGAACAACAACAACAACAACTTCTTTATTTTTATACCCTGCCTCCTTCTCCCCAAAGGGACTCGGGGCGGCTTACATAGGGACAAGCCTGAAAGACTGCAATTAAGCAGTTGCACAAGTTCACAAGCACTATCTCTCAAGACACCTTAGATATTAATTAAAAAGGAAATAAGTATTTTACAAATGCATTTTCATGTTCTGTGTATTCTGAAAGAGAGAGGAAGCAAGGGTGTCGTTTGCAGCAGTTCACTTCTATCACATTGTTTGAATGTTTACAAATGAACAAAGGAAAGTAAGAAAATAGTATAGAAATGCCTAACCAATGGTGGAAATTCCAATAAGTGACTGAAAATATCAGCAACATTTTGCAATTTTGTAATTTATTTCTTTTTTTAAAGAAAGGAAGCAATTGGGGAAAAGAGGACAGTTAAAGCTTTGCAGCCAGCTCTCTTCTTGTTCTGGTCTCTGAAAGTAAAATGACTATGGCCATGGAGAAGTGAAGCAATACAAAGTGATGCCCACAGCATGCCCAGAATGGCACGTCACAGTCTCCATACTCACTGCTGAAGAGTTTTTGGATTTATCACACACCTGAAAACTTAATTCAAAGCACTTTCATCTATCTAAAAACGGTTGTTTGTTTTTTGAAATGAATTGCAGACTGGTTTGAAGTGAGTGTAATTAGAATTTGGTTTGTGATTTGGAAACGTCGGACCTGTGCTGATAGTTACATATGATAATATGCTCTTTAGCTCCCTGTGATTTTTGAACAACAGCTATGAAACCATTTTCTCATGTGTAACAAAGTTTCTTAAAGTATCATAGAATTGGTTTACATATCATGGTTAACCTTGGAACTCTGAAGGAAACATGGGAATTGTATTTCTATGAAATGACAAGTAGAAATGTATAACACAAAGTTTCTGAATCCTTACAAAATTTCAACTTCATGTGTTCCTTTGAAGAACATCTTTCCAGCCAAAATGGAGAAAAGTTAATTTTCAATGATAATTCAACTTACGTCCTCAAGGCTCTTATAGCACCCAAGATATTGGGTGCTATGAGTAATGATTGAACTAACTTTGCTGCATTACAGTTAATATGAAAAGCTCCGACTCAAGCATGCTCTTCTCTATCTGTGAATCCTTTCATTTCATTTTATGGCAAACCATTATCAATCAGAATAGCAAACCACAGTTTCACAACACCACAACTACAGATAGATGTGAGAAGAATGGACAAGAAGAGATGAGAAAATGAGGAAGAGGTTGGCATAACTATCAAACACAATTTTCAATAGTGTTAAATGAACAAACATCAGGGTGTGTGAATTTTTTATGCCTGTGCATCTTCCCCCCAAATAAGACCCTCTGTGTAACAGTGATAGATTTTCCACCTTACTATATAGCTTTAACAAAGTTTGCTTGCAGTCTTTTTGATGGAATTTCTTAGCACAATCTGCAGTATGTTATGGACTTAACTGGTATAGGCTGGGTATGAAGTTCAAAATCATGCTTCATGCCAAAATCATTCTTCAGCACATAATCAGTTTTGTTCCTTTCCCACCTATATCACCACAGACAAATGTATTTATCCAGACTTTCTCTTTTGTATCAATAGTGCTGCTCAGTGCGTGTCAGAAGACAACTGGACAGAAACCTCACTTTTCACAAACTGGTTGCCTGGATGATTGCACTCCATACTAGTATGTGTTTTGAATGTTTAAATTATTATTCAGCCTTATTGCTTCATCAGAGCACAATTATCAGTGAAAGAAGTGGCAAACCATCTGTATTTGTAGTGAATTCCAAAGTATCGTAGTAGTTATGATAGTATTGGGTTGCTGGGATTTTTTTTAAAATTGTGTGTGTGATATGCTCAACTTGCTAATTAGCTGTCTTATTGAAGTTGAAGTTATCTTAGGGGTGATGGTGGTGTCCCCTTAGCTTGTTGTGCTAAGATGCCCATGTTGAGAGTAGTTATGGACATCATGTCCACAACTACCATGTGTCTGACCCAAAAGTATATCTGCCTACACCTGTGTCACAAAGCCCTTTTTTAAAAAACATTGTTTGCTGTGCTGAATGGGAAGATAGTGATTCTGGAGGTGAAGAACCTTAGATAATTCTGTTGTCATGGACTTATCCGTGGTGAGATTTAGATTTGCTGAGACTCAGAGCATTTGCAGGAGTGGGAGCCAATTAAGGAGGCCAAAGGATGTGAATGGTTTCTTGTTGCCTCAACTGGTGATTCTGTCAAAATTCTGGTTGATTTCTTACATGGGAAAATGACCAGGGTAAATGTCACTGGTAAAACACACTTTCTCACAGAATGGAGCCAAAGCAGCCTCCTGGTTTTCTAGGGAGCTGATGGCAATGGAACAAGTGAAATGGTGACAAGGTTAATGGAAGATACAAGTCCCGACAAACAGGCCGAATACCAACTCTGTGTTTGCAAAGAGCCACCCAGCATAGTTGTTTCAAGTGTCAGATGTCTATTATACCCTGGACTGTGATAAGAAAATTCAGATTACTTCTGAAGAATTTTAGTTTGGATGCTTCAGTTGATAAAATACACATTTGGCCACAGCTGTGCAAAGTATGTTAATCAAATGAAAACACCAACTCTAACAAATAATATATATACGCACACACACATTTTGAAGATATTTTAAGTATGATTTTCTACACAGCATTAATGCATTTTCTATTATTTTAAAAACTTTTTCTCTTTAGCAATCCATACGATAGCCCACTTATTTAATGTTGAAAGGTTGGTTGATGCGCGAAACGAAGAGACGAAAACTATCCAGGCTGTGCTGTCTGGTTTGGGTGATCGGAAAGATGAATCCTACTTGAATTTTGCCAGAAAGAAACTTATGGTAAGGGACCATTTTTCTTGGACAAGTTGTTGGTTAGTGATTGTTCCAATCTACTGTTCCACTAACATGCTTTCTCATCCTTTATGGGATGTTATTGCCTCAACTTAGATGTGATGGCTTCCCAGATATTGTTGGACTGTAAACACAACAACCATAGTCAGTGTGATCAAGAATTTTTAAAGTAATAGTCAACTACATGTGAAGATTCACGGATCTCCTTCTTTAGCTATTATCCAGCTGTGTTAGCATTGCTTATGTTGGCCTTCTTTTTCTGTCACAGAATCCTGAGGGTGGTCTCTACGTAGCATTTACAACCTTGGCAGGACTCACTGGTGTCATCATTACATTGTGTCTCATACTAATTATCACATCATCTACAAAAACAATTCGAAGATCATATTTTGAAGTATTTTGGTTCACCCATCATTTGTTTGTTATCTTTTTTGCTGGTCTTGTCATCCACGGAGCAGGGTAAGTATATGTGTTTATTCAGTACTACCATTAAGTGACTTCATGGAAACAGTATCATAATACCTTTATTAAGAACAAGAAAAAAATCTAGAAGTATGAATTCATTTTCAAATATCATTATATTATTTTCATTGCATTTTAACAAGAAGAATTATTTTTTGGGAAATGTGGAGGTACTGGGTCTCTTAAGTAGAGTAATCAGATTGGCGAAGTAAAATCAATCATATGTCCATCCCCTGCTCAAAGGTCTGGCAGAGAAAAGAAATAGCTTACAGTTATTTGTCTACATTTACTGTTTGACAGATTTGATTTAAAATATTATTCTTCAAAATCTTCAGATCCTCCATTGTGACTTTAGAATCAATTTCCTCGAGTCATCCGGGAATTTCCAGTCCTCCAATGTAAATCTGTAGTCATCTCCCATCAGACATTAACCAGAGAATCATTCCAGAAAGCATAGAAATTCCTAGACAGGCCTTACCTTGTGTAAAAAAGATAGCAATTTCTTTATTTGTGTTTTTTCACTTTTTTGGGTGGGCCTTTACTCCCTAATTACTTTAGCATAATCAAGCATAGTATCTAATGGAGGAGGGAAAGAGAACAGAGAAAAGAAGGCTACAGATTAATATAACACAGGAAGAAAATATATGTGGAAAAGAAAACAGGAATTCTGCAGATACAAAAACTAGAAATTACTGAGTATACATATGCAGAAATTGGTAACAATAAGAATCCTCACTCATTATGCAAATGCATTTAGGACAAAAGTGTTCCCTTTGCTCTTTTGTACCATTATGCTTTTGTCTCTAATCCGTGATCTTTTGCACTGTTCTCTAATTAGCCGTAGATGGCCTAAATCCAATTATTTGTCTCTTTAATAGAGTGGGCTTACTGAATCAATGGAATTTACATAAATCTTCCTTATTAGAGTCTTAAGATTTAGCTGTCTTGTTCTAATTGGGACTAAAAATTGGATTTATACCTACATCTGTAACACATTATTTCAGGTGGGGCTTTTTCCATGATCTTTCTCAGCTGTACAACTTTCTCAGCTGTACAACTGTTGTTTTGATGTTTGAGCATAAGGCCTTTAAAAAAAAGGATCTAAAGTACTTCTGTATGTGAGATTAATCACTGCCCTTTTTATAAATTCTGAAAACTACATATTAAGAAAAAGAAGAAAGATTAGGAAATGTTCATGTGCTGCTAAATGACAGTGCACACGCTCTCCCAATATAACCATCAGAGAAAATTTTTCATTCTGAAAAAGAAATGTTTAAGTGCAGGAACTCAACTTTCCCTTGCCTCTTTGCTGTTGTTGCAAACATTGCAAAACTTATAACCTCATAAACACTAGAGAATGAATCCACTTTAAATCCCGTTGGTGCTAGGGGTTGATCCTTGCCCTTCCACCTCTAATCTCCTGGACAATTTGCAAATAGTCAAAATAGTGAATATGGAGGGCCAACTGTAATCTGGTGTCAATTTAATTACTATTAATTTAACTGTACATTATGAATGATGTTGGTTGTTATTCTCAGAAAAATTGTGCGTGGACAGACACGGAGTAGTTTAGATGTGCATAAACCAGAAATCTGTGCCAGAAATTACACCAACTGGGGGAATTTGCCTTCTTGTCCTATACCACAATTTGCTGGAAATCCTCCTATGGTAAGATTTATGGTTTGGTTTTTTAAATATATATATTTATAAATTAAGTCTACATAAGATTTTGATGTTTAATTAACAGCACTCAGATGACAGGGCATTTACCTAGACTCTACAGAACCAAACGAAGTCTCAGTTAAGCCTGTGCATATAGAAATTAATGACCACTGGGCAAAATAAAATCAATTAATGCCATACGTGTGTTTTCAAAGGTTTTTAAAGTTGGACTCAGGGCTAAAGGCAAGATCACTCTTCTCAGGAATAGACTTTAGAAAGTTGTTCATTGTGAATGTAGTAACTTCCTATTTCAACTGGGGGAAAAACCCATCCTTGCAAAAGAAGAAATTTTGCTTTGAACAGTTGGTGTGGTGTAATGACCCTGCTGTGCTGTTGTAATCATATTGAGGGTACATAATGCAATTGTATAATCATTGAGCAGAATCATTTGTCTGAACATGTTTCAGGGTAAAGCTAGGGACATGACTGACATATAAGTCCAGCTCCCCAACCCCAAACACCTGGGTCTAAGATAGACTTTTGTGCATTGAGCATGAAGTTCTTAAGAGAACTGAATACACACATTCATTTGACTGTATGTCCGAGGTGCCTGTGAGCCTAAACCCAATCTTATCAAGGTTTTTACTCAAGGGAGCTTTGGAACAATTAACAGTACAGTCTTTGTTATACCTGTGCACACATATAAGCTTAACATACTTAACATATAAGGTTAACATACTGTTCAAGGAACATGGGCTGTGGGGGGGGGGCATTATGTGGACACTCATACCCTTGTCTTCAGTTTTATACCTACATATAGAATTATAGAGTTGGAAAAGATGATAAGACTAATCCAGATCAAGTCCTACCATGTAGAAATACATAGTCAAAGCATTCTTGACAAATAATTATCCAATCTCTATTTTAAAACCCCCTAAAGAAGAGTCCATCACACTCCAAGGTAACGTATTCCACTGTCAAACATATTCAGGCAGACATTTCATCAGGGCTTTTTATCATTAATGTGGCTTTTTAATCTTCTCCTGCTTAACTTTCTTCTATTGACAGACATGGAAATGGGTGGTGGGCCCTATGATTCTGTATGTCTTTGAAAGGCTGGTGCGCTTCTGGCGATCACAACAAAAGGTTGTTATCACAAAGGTAAGAAAAAAAAGCAGTATATATGTCTCTCATGCAATGTTTGTAGGATGTTTCTCATCATACAAATATCCTGTAGCCTGTCATTGTGGGTAGTTATTTCAACATTATTTTCCAGTTACCATATATATTCGAATATAAGCTGACCCGAATATAAGCCGAAGCACCTAATTTTACCACAATAAACTGGGAAAAAGTATTGAGCTGAGTATAGGCCGAGAATGGGAAATGCAGCAGCTACTGGTAAATTTCAACATAAAAATAGATACCAGTAATTAATTGAGGCATCAGTAGGTGAAATGTTTTTGAATATTTACATGAAACTATAATTTAAGATAAGACTGATCAACTCTGCTTAAACAATTATTCTAAACTTCTTCAATGTAAATGTGCTTACATATCATTCCAATAATAATAGAGTGAATAATAAATGCAATAATAAAAATAAAGTAAAATAATGGAAATGTAACAATAACAGTAATAATAGAGTAAAATAATAAATGTCATAATAACAATAATAATTAAGTAAAATAATAAATGTCATAATAATGTAAAATAATAAATGTAATAATAATAATAATAATAATAATAATAATAATAATAATAACAGCATAAAATTATAAATAACCTTGACTTGAGTATAAGCCGAAGGGAACTTTTTGAGCCTAAAAAGAGGGCTGAAATGCTAGGCTTATTCTCAAGTATATACAGTACCTTCCAAATATTATTTCCAGTTACTGCTTTCCTCTCATCTGCAAGTGAACACCTTTTCAAGCAGGCTTTGAATGTGTAATTGCTTGCAGGGAGGCCCCTTATGGGATGAGATGATGGTTTGGTGATTATTATAACTTTTGCATGCCTTGGTTGATGTTGCACTGTTTATAGCTATGGTTTTATCACAATTATTTTAAAACTATATTTTAAATGTTACTGTCAGGGTTTTTTTTTAGCTGAACATTTTTGTGCATTACATTGGGTCCCATGCCAGGAGAAGTAAGTGAATGCACAAAAAAGTATAGGCTTACTTCAAAAGAGACAAAACTTCAATTCCTGAAAATACTAAAGCTACCAAATATTAGAAGAATTAGGGAAGGTAACTGCACCAAGCAAACAAATAAACAAATAAATAAATGCTTTCCCAACATAGTGGCTGTAGAATTTATTGAGTTGTTGTTTCCCAAGCTCTATCCTAGAAGAATTGAGCCCAATGCTATGGAGAGATGATAAAATACCAATGTATCTCAGGGAAAATAGACATCTGTGTAGCATTTTGCTTAAAACATGTTCCTCTAAACATTTTCTTGGAATGATTTTTTTAAGAAAGAAAATCTACATCCAGTTGAATAGATTTCAAATTTAGTGTTTCACTTTCATCTAATGTAGGTTGGAGCAGTACAAATTTTGTCCATCCTAAATGTTTCTGTGTGGTATTCTGAGAGTTCTCCACTTCGTATCATAGGTTGTCACTCATCCTTTCCAAACCTATGAACTCCAGATGAAGAAAAAGGGCTTTAAGATGGAAGTGGGGCAATACATTTTTGTGAAATGCCCTGCAGTATCCATGCTGGAATGGCACCCTTTCACATTGACTTCTGCTCCTGAAGAGGATTACTTCAGCATTCACATACGTGTTGTAGGGGACTGGACAGATGGCTTGTTTAAAGCTTGTGGATGTGACAAGGAAGAATTCCAAGATGCCTGGAAATTGCCCAAGTATGTACTAATGGAAAACCTATGTCTATACTAGAAGGGGAAGAATCAAATATTTTTCTCTTAACCTTGCAAACAAGCATATGATGACTTGCTGTGCCTACAGGCATGAGTTACTAGGTGTGAAAAGGGTAAACAAGAGCAGGATCAAACACAAGAGGTTTTCTGAACTAAAGGTAAATTGAGGTTAGCAATATCTGCTGCAGATTCTCCAACTCTTCATGGAGCCCATTTCATCATGAAGGTCAAAACTAAATCTGTGGCAGCACAACAGGAAAGCAATCCAAAGTGTACAAGAATGTACTGGGGGCTGCAGCACAAAGGAAGGGGGACTTTGTGGTGGGAGCCCAGTACAGAGAGAGGGAGGGAGGGGCAAGAAGCAGCAGGTACAACAGCAAGAATGGAGAGGCTGCCCTAACCTAAGCATGCTGTGTCTTTCTCGGAACATTGTAAAGCCAGCATAGATGAATTGGAGTTAGGAGGAGAAGATAGAGATCACACAGCAGATGAGATGTACTTTCTCCCTCTTTGCCATCTCTCATAAGCTGGTTTCAGAGACTGGGGATGAGGTAGGTGACAGCAGTTAGCCCCCAGTTCATGGCACCCTAGAGAAAATGCCATTCTTGGTCCAGTCTAGCAAGGTCTTTGAACAGGGTTCCATGCAATGGAGAAGATGTGAGCCTTGCATAATTCTTACCTATCACTACCAGAATGGTACAGTTGTAGCGTGATTCAGGTGAAATCATGCTACAATGGTTAGCCTGTCCTCATAGATGGAGTTCTAGCATTGACCAAAAAAGGTGTGCTAAAATATTTGTAGTGTATTATGTTATAATAATAATAACTTTATTTTTATACCCCACCGCAATCTCCCCGAAGGGACTCGAGACGGCTTACAAGGGGACAAGCCCAAAAATACAGATTAAAGCACACACAATAAAATAAAATGAAACAAAATAAAAACAACAACATTACAATCACAGTGCACATTTTATTCACAGTACTACCAAAAAGAGGGGGAAGGTCTTCTTAGATAACTAGAAGGTTGTCTAATCTTAATAGTACATTAATTCACCTTTGAACTGAGCCTTGCAGTCAATTTTGGTCCCTCTTTATTAATGAAAGGACACTGTTCAAAGTTGGTTCAGTCTGGCAGTCTAGAATTTGCTGTCTGAAAGCTGTTGTGTTATGTCCCACATAAAGTTAAGCTTTTAACCATTCAAAAACCAGTCCAATTACTCTTAGTAGCAGATTAAATATAGTTATATTTTGAAGATCAGCATGATCAAAGATGTCCCAGTTATTCACTGGCCAGTCTCTGAATGCATATCTTTTTGGCTGTTGGACCATCATAGTATGTCTGGACCAGTCACAGTCATTGTTATCACTTTACCTTTACTGTTCCAGAATAGCTGTTGATGGTCCCTTTGGTACCGCCAGTGAAGATGTATTTAGTTATGAAACTGTGATGTTGGTTGGAGCTGGCATTGGAGTTACTCCTTTTGCATCAGTCCTCAAGTCGGTGTGGTACAAATACTGCAATGATGCCATTAACCTCAAACTCAAAAAAGTAAGTCCGCAGCATCTTACCAGTTACAGCTATTGTTCCTTAGCACTTAACAGTATGTCAAAAGAGGAACTATAAGATAAGCTCTGGACTGGATTTAGATTTCTCAATGCAAAAAAGCCCTTGGATAATTAATATTTTATGTTCTTGTTTCATGTGGATGTAACTGCTTCCAGGAACTGAGATTTAGCAACCTTGTAAAGTGTATTTGTCCCAATTGTTCACATACCGTATCGTCTTGTATCCTTGGATGCACAGATGGATGTTCTCCGAAACAACAAGATCTATCAGTGTATGCATCAGAGTGTTAGATTGAGATGAAAGCCAGTATACTGTATTTTCATCATTGTCAATGTATTTGTCAAGAATGATATTTCAGTTCAGAGAATAACATCCAAAAGTTAAACTTCTTCCTGTAATGTGTAATTGCATTAACTAAAGTCTGATTCCATAAATCAAATTGCATAGCTTGTACTTTGCTAGAGATGACTTCCGGGAAAGGGGGGAGGGGGGAGGGAGATCATTTAGGTGAGTGAAGATCACCAAAATAAAGTAAGATTTTATTTCATCCGATAGAGGGCCTTGGTATACCCTAATTGAAGACCGGAAGAATAAGTAAGAGTAGTGTAAAATATCTGGGGATTTTTTAATATGTTGAAACTAGCTTTGTCCTCCTCTTATCCTGTAATTTTTCATGCTACAGAAGACAGTATGCTTCCTCACCACACTTCCAATGTGCATATCCAATGTGCATTTCCATATCTGTCACTCCTAAGAAACTGAAATTTCCTAGGCCATTAACTACAACCTAGTGAAAATCACAAATAATCCAGAATTTTGTATAAATGCTTTGAAGTATTAGGAAGAAATAAGAGGCAAATGAAATCACCCACCTAAATATAATATGTGATCATATTTCATCTTTTGCCTTCTAGATCTATTTTTATTGGCTCTGCAGAGACACCCATGCTTTTGAATGGTTTGCTGATCTTCTGCAATCACTGGAGATTCAAATGCAGGAAAAGGATAATGCAAACTTTCTCAGCTACAACATCTATCTAACTGGCTGGGATGAATCTCAGGTAACCAAATTACTGGAGCCCTCTCAAAACAGCTGAGTCTTTCGTTTAAAAAAGTCATCATTGTATTTTTTCTACTTGTGTGAACATGTTGTTTGTTCTGAGACAATATTTATTCCTACTTTCCTCTGGTTTATGGTGAACAGGATAGTCTCATTGGGTACCATATAGTTCTAGTTTTGAAATGCTGACACAGATGTTTTACAAAGTATCTAAAAGAATGAATATGGAAGCATGTTATAAGACCAGCTTATAGGAAAGCTAGAATCTCAGTAGACTGGTTTTGTCCCACAGCCATTTGCATTTGTATATCACTCAAGCCTTATGGTTGAGAATCCAATTGGCCCTCCATATTTGCAGATTTGATTTTTGCATATTTGATTTGAAATGTTCTTTCTAGGATCTCTAGGACTCCTATGTGAGTCTGTGGTCAACTTCCAGCAGAAGCTGAACCATAGAGTCATGCTGGAGGATTTAGAGATTCCTAGAGAAGTATTCTTTCAAGTTTTAAAAGGTCTGTATTTTCACTGAGATCTTGCACCATGAACTCCAATAAATGTGGAAGACTGACTGTAAAAGGCAGGTGGTATCAATAGACATTACTGCTATCAGTGAAAGTAGACTGGCATACCAGTGGTTAGCTTTAGAAGGAACAATCCATTTTGCTTGTTTACATTGTCAGAAAAGGAAATGAAAGAGGTGTTTTCAGATCTTCAAGCGCTCTTGCTGCCTATTACAGGGAAAACCAGCTGATCCCTAATCCATCTAAAACACAGACATGTGCTTTTCACCTTAAGAACAGACAAGCATCCAAACTCTGAGGATTACCTGGGAAGTAATCCCACTGGAGCATTGCAGCGCACCCAAATACCTGGGAGTCACTCTGGACCGTGCTCTGACCTACAAGAAGCACTGCCTGAATATCAAGCAAAAAGTGGGTGCTAGAAACAATATCATACGAAAGCTGACTGGCACAACCTGGGGATCACAACCAGATACAGTGAAGACATCTGCCCTTGCGCTATGCTACTCTGCTTCTGAGTATGCATGCCCAGTGTGGAACACATCTCACCACGCTAAAACAGTGGATGTGGCTCTTAATGAGACATGCCGCATTATCACGGGGTGTCTGCACCCTACACCACTGGAGAAATTACACTGTTTAGCCGGTATTGGCACCACCTGACATCCGCCGGGAAGTAGCAGCCAATAGTGAAAGGACCAAGGCAGAGACATCTCCAGCTCATCCCCTGTTTGGGTATCAGCCAGCACGTCAACGACTTAAATCAAGAAATAGTTTTCTAAGATCTACAGAGACACTCGCTGGAACACCTCAGCAAGCAAGAGTCCAAAAGTGGCAGGCTCAAACCCAGAACCTCAATCAATGGCTGATACCAAATGAGAGACTCCCTCCTGGGCACACAGAAAACTGGGCGACTTGGAAGGCGCTGAACAGACTGCGCTCTGGCACCACGAGATGCAGAGCCACCTTAAGAAATTGGGCTACGAAGTAGAATCCATGACATGTGATAGGAAAGCAAAGTGTTTACCTCAGACTGGATGATACAAAAACTGATTTAGCTCTTTGGCCTCACCTGATCTAAATGCACGTTTAAGCAGAATCATGCCACTGGATTGAATTGTGATTCTCTGGGGTATTTTATACCCCAGAGAAAAAAACTACCTCTTCACAATAGCATATATAAGCTCATCTAAATCCATGCTGTCTTATGAAAACATAGGAGGGGAGGGAATGGTCAATTGTGAATGAATATGGATAAACTGAATCTTCTAAATTCTCAACTTCACAATATGATCCATTCTCTTGTAAAGCCAAAAGATATGTTTTGAAAGCAATTCAATACCATTGATTTTTGTGAGAAACAGTTACAGATGCACTTGATTTCCCCAGTGACTTTAATAGGAAAGCAAAGTGTTTACCTCAGACTGGATGATACAAAAACTGATTTAGCTCTTTGGCCTCACCTGATCTAAATGCACGTTTAAGCAGAATCATGCCACTGGATTGAATTGAATTGTGATTCTCTGGGGTACAGACCACCTACTGCAATGCAACCTGAGCCTTGCGACATGCACAATGGAGGACCTTCTTGCAGCAACACCAGAGGCACTTCAAGTGGCCAGCTACTGGTCAAAGGACATTTAATAGAATACCAAGTCTGCAAACTTTGTGTTTTGTTTGTTTTTTTTAATGCAATACAACTGTTTTGATTCACTCCTGACTCAATAAATAAATAGATCTCCGAAGAAACGTAATCTACTCTTGATGTATTGTCTGTGATACCTTTCTCCTTTGGAAGAAAAAACATAAATAGTATATTTTAAAGGGGGTGATTATTAATGTTATATTCCTTGACACTTCAGTGTTTCAATTTTGCACATTTAAGATTAGTAATATTCAGTTTTCTGGTAGTCAATATGTGACATGGGTCTTTCTGTTCTGATCACTGTTGTGCAGCTTCTTTTCTTTCCATAAGAAAAATTACGGAGTACAGAGCCATATATCCTTGCTTTGAGATAACAATGAAAAAGATGTACAGTTCACAAAGAGTTGGTGAACAATTTCCTTTATTAAGAGATCTCTTTAGACCATACCTGGGACATCCTGGTTTGCAGGCAAATTACAGAGTAAATAGGGTATACTAGAAAGCATCCCATGGATCCTTTCCAGTCTACCGTATTTACTCTTGCTGACAATGAATCCATCCCTTTTTAACTGTGTTCACTTCACCAGTGCTTCCAGCGCCACTATGATTCATTGGCTGGAGCTGTGTTGTTCAACTGTGATACTTGTCTTGTACTTTGGGAGTACCTCTCAAGGCCTCCGTCAAATCTCATTTCCACTTACCCTCATTACATCACCATCTCCCCTAACTGCTTTCTATAGTTCAGTTATAGGAGGCCTTATGCCTTTTTCATAAGGACATTATGTTCCTTCTTTCTCCCAGGCTACTCATTTTACAGTACACCATGATGCAGAGAAAGATGTGATTACAGGCTTGAAGCAGAAAACCTTGTATGGAAGACCAAACTGGGAAAATGAGTTCAAAACAATTGGAAGTCAGCATGCAAGGTAAATTGACTCTACAGAAGATGCACTCTCTTGTGTTACTTATATTTTACTTTGCTGTGTGTAGGCATGCATGCAATATGTGGATGTTTGCATTGTGTCTCTGACTATTTCTGGTAATGAACATTTGATTCTTTGGGCATTATATTGCTTTGAAGGCTGAAAATTCAAGCTCATCATTATGTGAAGAAAAAAACTACCTCTTCACAATAGCATATATAAGCTCATCTAAATCCATGCTGTCTTATGAAAACATAGGAGGGGAGGGAATGGTCAATTGTGAATGAATATGGATAAACTGAATCTTCTAAATTCTCAACTTCACAATATGATCCATTCTCTTGTAAAGCCAAAAGATATGTTTTGAAAGCAATTCAATACCATTGATTTTTGTGAGAAACAGTTACAGATGTACTTGATTTCCCCAGTGACTTTAATAGGAAAGCAAAGTGTTTACCTCAGACTGGATGATACAAAAACTGATTTAGCTCTTTGGCCTCACCTGATCTAAATGCACGTTTAAGCAGAATCATGCCACTGGATTGAATTGTGATTCTCTGGGGTATTTTATATGACAAACTCCAATCTTAAGTATATTTACATGCCCCATTAATTTTAGTGGGAGTTACTTCCAAATAATTTCAAAAACTATAGATGAAAAAATGATGCTAGAAACAAATCTTAAATTGTTTCTAAGCTTAATTATTTAAATTCTAAAGTCTGGCATTTAAAAAATGCTAACATTTTAGCCATTAGGGTGAATTCACACATACACATTCATCACATAGGATGACCTGTGAATCAGTATGTTTCCTTATTGCAAAATTGCCTCAGATTTACCAATTAAAGTTACTGTGACTCATGAAAGAATTGTTGAATAATGGTGTGTGTGGTGTTGTAGGCAACTTGTTAGATTTCTTGTTTTACTCAATCAAATCCTTCTCTCAATGAAGTCCACATGTTACTGATCCTTTTATATTTTCCTCTATGTTGACAGTATTTAATGCAAACTGACACAAAGATTTGGCACAAGACTCTTCTACCAAGAGAAATCAATTGTTACCAGCCAAACCTTCTTACAGTTTGTATCAGAAATCTTCTGGCAGGAAAACGAACAGGGAGTTGAGAAGTGGTAGAGTGAGGGAAGGAATGAGTTATATCTTGTCAAGAACAGGGTTAGCACAAGATGAGGCCAGGATCAACGTAATCATGGCTGGTTTCTTTTAGACTGGGTACTTCATCATGGCATGGTATTGACTCAGCTGACCCATGGCCAATTCTACTTTTTGATGTCAAGAGAATCTTTGATAAGCAAATTAATACGTGTTTTTTCTACTGCATTTAAAATCTTCCATTATCCAATTTCTTTTGTTATCAGTTCCAGGATTGGCGTTTTCCTGTGCGGACCCGAAGCCTTGGCTGACACCTTAAATAAAATGTGCATTAGCAATTCAGATGCTGACCCACGAGGAGTACACTTCATATTCAACAAAGAAAATTTCTGATCATATTTGCTCCACAAAAAAGGAAAAAGAAAGAATAGCTGCATTTTATTCACATGTTTGTGTATATGTGGAGTTTGAGGACAACAAAGTTTACATTGTTATCGTAAACATCCTTCTTACTAGAATTTTTAAAAAAGTTCTAGATTTGCTTGCATTGCTTCTGTATTTGGTACAGCTCTGCCAAATATGCTTTCTTCAATTTAACCTGTTTTGGATTGCATTTGTATACATCCTGAACTCAATTGGACTTACTACAGATCAGTCACACAAGTTGTATGGTTGATTTGACACATCTCTTATCTGTAATTACAAAATTCCCCTAAAAATCTGATACACGTTTTCAAACGCTTTAATGATTAGCTTGGAATCTCCCCTGCCACTTTAGTTTCCAGCTGCAATAGTAGAAACTGTTGGTTCATTGAGCTTGCCACAGACAGTGGTCCAAACAGGGTTGCCAGATCACCTTTATTCTTTGCTCTGCAAGAACTTCACTGGAGATAGAAAAACTCAAAGAGCAGAGGGAAACCTATTAATAACTAGGATATATTTTTCTTTTTAAAAATCATTTTACATGAACACTAGAATAGCAACACTTAGGGTGCTTTTACACTAGAATTAATGCATGTTTGATGCTGCCATGGCATCATGGGAGTTGTAATTTTACAACTGTAGCCTCTTCTAGCAAATTGGTGCCTCACCAGATTTCCATAAGACTGAGCCATGGTAGGTATCGTAGTGTCAAACTGCATTTGTGCACAGGCAATTTCACCCTCTCCACCTGACATCTCAATTTCATACATGTGTGCCTTCAAGTCATCTGTGGATTTATGTCAGTCCCATGGGATTACATAAGGTTTTCTTAGCCAAGGAATGCTCAGAAGTGGTTTATCATTTCCTTCCTCGGAAACAGCCTACAGCACCTGTTATTTGTTTTCAATCTCCCATCCAAGTGCTAAACAGAGATGACACAGCTTACCTTCCAAATTAATTTTCCAGTTCTTTGTTTGTTCATAAGACAGGATGAATGATTGATATGCGATGCTTTAATTGTATGTGCATTAAATTAGAATGTTAATATTTTGAGTGTGTGTTTACACTTGTGGTTATATAACCGTCTTGTTGTACGGCCTTTATCGTTTTTTATTTCTCATTTTAATGATACCATTCATCTTAGCAGGACTGATGGGACTCCTCAGCAGAGCAAAGCCTTCTCTAATGGGCTCTTTCTAGAACAGGAGTTCTCAAATTTTTTGAGCTGCAGAGCCCTTTTTGAAGCAAAAGTTTCTTGTGGATCCCCAACAAATGTTTACATATTGTATTATAGATTATGTGTATATATCAGGCATGGGAAAATTTTCAGTCACAGTGGTTGCATTGTGTTTTAAAATGACAGACAGGCAAGATCAGTGACAGATGAATGAAGAGTTTGGGTGAACTAATTGAAAAAAGTGAAAAAATATCTCATTTGTAGTGTAGAAAGAAAGAACAATACAATATTTAAAATTAAAAACATTTTAACCAACATAAATTTAACAGTATTTCAGTGGAAGATCCCAGGGACCATCCAGTTCAACTCCCTTCTGCCATGCAGGAAAAGCACAATCGAAGCATCCCCTGAGTGGTGGGAGAGAAATAGGGTTTTGGAAGTCAAAAAAGTAAGCAGGGGGCGAAAAGGGTGGAGAGGAAAAGAGTCTGGCCCTGAGGGAGATGGGGTAGGACTCTCAGGAGGACTCTCCCAGGAGGACTCTCAAGATATGTATTATAGTTAACATCCTCAAGAAAAAAGCTCTTTGTGCATTTAAAAATAATAAATTCACACTCAACTTTCAAAGAAAATCAAGTTCGCCCTCTCCCTATAAAAAGCATCATTTTAATAACAAGCAAAATAAAATTTCAACAAGCAAAACATTGTTTCAGCAAAGAAGCAAAATGAAGCCATTTGTCTCATGTTAATGGAGATAGTCCTTAGGAACATGGTTGAGTCTTATGCCAGGAGCCGTTTACATTTCTAGTTCTTTGCAACCTGGGAAGGATTGCAATAAGAATGTGCAATACAATGTGGTCCTTCCTGCAACTTCCTTTTTCATGTAATGCATGATTAACTCATGACATCCATTGTTGCAAAAAAATAAAAATGAAAAGCAGAGCTTAGAGAAGTTCATTTTGGGAACAACACCTCCCAGTAACCCCAAAAGCAATTGTCCAAAGAATCTACTTTTTCATGGTTTGATAATGGTGATGGATATACCAGTTTAGGAATACATTAGATGTTATGGGGATACATTTCTTGGGGGTTGGACTGAGGCCCCTTCTACATAGCTGTATGAAATCCATATTATCTGCTTTGAACTGGATTATATGGCAGTGTAGACTCAGATAATCCAGTTCAAAGCCAATAATGTGGATTATTTGCCTTGATATTCTGGATCATATGGCAGTGTAGAAGGACCCTGAATGCCTTTGTAGTCTCTTCCAACTCTACGATTTTATGAGTGGGCAGTTTTGCTCCTTGGAGAAAGGAAAAATTTCGACTTCAAGCTCTTTTTATTGGCTGCAAAACTGCAGCTGGATGGTGTTTAGGAGCATCTCCATCCTCCAGGTACTGTTTGTTTCTCAGAGTTTGCCCCACTATTAACTAGCTGGGATTTACAGGGGGTCATTGCACAAATATGTACTGAATGGTCAAAACAGCTCATAAGCAGGTTTAACATATGCCAGTATGTGTCACCAGCAGAATTCCAACAATAGCTGCAATCTGCAGAACATATAGGTAATTCCATGTGCTTATCAAGCTTACATATATATACAGCCACTCTATATGTAACACATCTAGGAAGCAGGGTGCAATCAATAAAAGAGTTAAGGCCAGACACATTGGATTGAATTGCGTGCTTGTTAAAATGATGATAAAAACCTGCCTAGCAGAAAGCATAACAAAAGTCGCCAAACCAATTAGAAAACCAAGAATTGAAAATTAGGGTTATGGCACTACTGACATGGTTCCTCTTTCCCCTTGCAGGAATTAGCATGAAACCAACTGGGTGATGAAAGGTCGCCTGTTGGTGTGATAATTTCCAAACTGTAATTACACGAAACAACCACTTCCCTAAAGAAGTGTCAGCAGGTGTTTACTCTTGTGGGTAAGAGTACACTTTCTAGTACCCTTTGCTCAGTGCTAGGGTATTTTCTTCACCGGGAACTTTTTAAAAAATCCTTTATTTTTTTCATTTAATGCATGAATGTCTGGCATCACTGGCTGTGTTTATAGTTTCTGTTGAGGGAGAACAACAACTCAATCCCTTTAGTAAAGGAGTCCACTGGGGAACTATTGGTTTTGATGCCAGAAACAAGGAGAGAAGGAGCGCCGAGTCTTGTGTGCTCCAGAGGCTAGGACACAATGCAGCACTGGATGGCTATAGTCTTCCAAATTGTGGCCTGTTGGAGGCTGGATCTACACCGTGGAATTAATGCAGTTTGACACCACTGATTGCCATGGCTCAATGCTATAGAATCCTGGGATTTGTATTTTGATCAGACACCAGTATCTTTGCCAGAGAAGGCTAAAGACTCAGGAAACTACAGTTCCCACAATTCTATAGTATTGAGCTGCAGCAATTAAAGTGGTGTCCATCTGCACTAATTCTCCAGTTTAAGCCCCATCTACACTGTCATATAATGCAGTTTGATGGCATTGAATTGCATTATATGACTCTACATTGACCATATAATGCAGTTTTGAATATTACCTCTAGCCACCATGAATAATTGTAAAGGATTTCAATAGTTGTAGTCCAGGGGTCCTCAAACGTTTTAAACAGAGGGCCAGGTCACAGTCCCTCAAACTGTTGGAGGGCCGGATTATAATTTTAAAAAAAACATGCATGAATTCCTGTGCACACTGCACACACAGGTCTTATTTGTAGTGCAAAACAAACTTAAAAACAATACAATAATTAAAATGAAGAACATTTTTGACAAATATAAACTTACTAGCTTAGGGACCCATCGGTGCCTGGGTTATTTGAGAAGAGTATTGTTTGTCAGTGCTTCAAGTTTCATCAGTGTGTGCGGGTGAACTACAACTCCCATACATAAGTCTCATTGTCCATGGTCCATTTTCCTCCAAACCCCACCAGGGTGGAGAGTGGGCCATGGGGGCTCTGTGTGCTAAGTTTGGTCTTGATGAGTCATTGGTGAGTGTCACCGTGGTCTTTGGAAGTAAGTGGAGGTACTGCATATCCCATTCTCCATGGCCCATCCTCCTCCAAAATGCACCAGGGTGTAGAGTGGGTCATGGGGGTTCTGTGTGCCAAGTTTTGTCCTGTTCTGTGATTTGTGGGGGTCACAATGTTCCGTGGGAAGTGAGTCGGGTGAAAGTACTGCAAATCCCATCATCCCCCAACCTTCACCAGGGCATGAAGGGGTTCATGAGGATTATGTTTGGCCCAGGTCCATCATTCATGCTAGTCTCAATGGTATTGCAAGTCCCATCATCCATGGCACGTCCTCCCCCAAACCACACCAGCATGTCAAGTGGGTCATGGGGTTTCTGTGTGCCAAATTTGGCCCAGTTCCATCATTGCTGGATATGGCTATGGTCTGTGGGAGCTGGAGCGATTGAA